CGCAGGATTTGATTCATCTTGCCCGCTCGCGGAGCTAGCCATATAATAATCTCTGTTATTTTCTGGCTGTTTGTGCAACGATAGTGGTAACTGTTATTACTGAATGTGTATCCTAGGTACGTTCTCATGTTGGATTGTTGGCAAGTGGCCCCACAGCGAAGGCCAACATTCCCTGAGCTGTCTCAGCACCTCAGTAAAATGCTCAGTGACGAGAGGGTAGGTGTAACTTTTTGCTACTCAGGCCCCTTTTGAATATAACAAGGCAACCACTTTGTGAATCAAACACCTCACTCCCACCCGAAACAGTTACATAGAATGGTTCGAATAGGGGTGGGTCAAGTTTCGAGAAAATTGAAAACAATTGCTTGCGGAACCTGAAATATTTATTGCATGAAAAACCGTTTTTTTTTTTCACTTTAAGTTGTCGAGCCTTATTTAAAGAAAGAATGTAAGCAGTATTGGTTGTGTATCGAACCTCACTCAGATATCTAAATTGCTTGACTGATTTCTAAAATATCTCTTTTGGGGAAAACGAAATATTTTGGAAAAAACGATTATAAAATAAAACTCATCCTAGATACAGGATTGTTATGAAATTCAGTTTAAAATCGGTAGAGGCCTTAATCTACATTTTTCATATTTCATCACGTCTTTTTGTGTCATATTGCCCAACTGGTCGTCAACAACTTAGGGGTTTTTTTGTACTTATCATTTCCTTCAGGAATACGTATCCTTGGGAATATACGAAGACAATATGTACATCAATTTTGACGGCTCTTCACTCACGGTGTAACTTCCTCGAGTCAACTGACACCGACAAGTGCATGACTTGATTGACACTTGTCAATCATTTTCGCTCCTGAGTTGACGGTAATTTTTGCTTGTCTCCAGGAATACATCGACATGCGAATGTACGAGGATCATTTGTACATTAATTTCGACAAGACGTCGGGGACTATGCCATCGAAATCAGGGAGCGCAAATCCTCATGAATCAGCCATGTGACATAAAAAAGTAATCATCCACGACTTCCCTTCACCTGCGAATTGACACTGAAAGAACCTTGCATTCATAATGAGAGAGCTGAAGAACACTGCTTGGTTGTGACAGTTGTGAAGAAAACCTCAGCTTGTTACTCCAGGAATCTCAGCCGCGCGAGTGCTTCGAGGACCGTCTTGGTAGACGCAGGGAATTTCAAAATGGCGCCAGCTAGCATGCAAAGAAAAGGAAAATGTATCATTTACACTTATGGAATCGAGATTTTGTCTCGACTTCTAACTTTATTATAAGGACAACAAGAAACATTTGAACACGTAAATTCGTTCCCGTCGAAATGTTTTGAAACAAACGCCATCTTGACTGTCTACCAAAACGTTCCCAGGCATCCTCGCGCACTGAGGTAGTGCCTAGTCTTCTCGTAGTTTCCAGAGTTGAGCATTGGTGTTGGCGTTACAATTGTAAAGCGGTGTGTTAAGACAACAGCATGCTCCCGGAATTGCGCCAAGGGAATTATGGACAATGGAGCATCGAAACGAACAGTAAAACAGAATTTGTAATTATGCTTTCCTAGACGTAAAGCTGGAATATATAGAATGCAGAAATGTTTATTATTTAAGAGGCTAAAAAATTATGTAGGGCAACGAATCAAGAGATAGAACAAAGGGAGAAACATTAACGGAACGGTTATGTTTGTCCGTTCTTTTTGTGTCAGCGTTCAAAATGGCGCGATGTTAGGTGTGTCACGTTTTAGTGACCAAACATTGTTCTTGTTTAAACTTCAAGAAATCTTAACTGACAAAAAAAAAAATTATGCTGGTTCACCTGCGTAAGTCATTAAATCTGTATAATTCCTTAGTAGAAAGTGTTTTGTCAAACCACTGTCAGAGAAACCTACCTGAACGAGCAAAGAGCACAAGGCATTGATGCTCGTTGTGAAATCTTCTTTTCATGAACAATAAAGTCTATGTAGAATTATAATTCATCAAATATTTTCGCTCGCGCGCGATTGGTCTAAACACATCGCGTGGCCGAATGTTCCCCGGCTAAAACTGGGGGATATCCGAGATTATAATCCATCAAATATTTTTGCTCGCGCGCGATTGGTGACCGAATATTTCCCAGCTAAAACTGGGGAATATCCGAGAATATTCCCCAATTTTCGAAACTGCGCGTGTTGCGAAAAATATTTGAAGGATAATAAACATAATAGCCTTTATTTGACTTTGAAAATATGTTCGGATATTTGTCCTTGGACATTATCTGTTCCTCGAAGCTCACAGTTTTCCTCGAGCTTCGCTCTCGGAAAACTGTTCGCTTCTCGGAACAGGTAATGCCCGCGGTCAAATATCTGAGCATATTTTCGCGCCAAATGGAGGCAATTGTCTATATATTTTGGAAATGGAGGCTATTGTTTATATATCCCGGCCCAGACAAAATTGGATATAATCTAAAGGCCCTGACACAAGAACATGCATTGCAAGCAGTGATCGAGCAGGCCACGTGTTAGACGTATCAATATTTTAGCTAACATGGCTCCGCGGCTTTTAGGATAGAATTGCAAATTTGTCACTTTGTCTCGCAATTACCAAAAGTGACTTGGCTGCAAAGAAAACACCACCAAATATAGAAATTTATTCTGAAACCCTTCGAGAAAACATTCATTAGAAAAAGTCATCGTTGAACGAGGACGTTTAGTGGGCCTATGCATTATATAAATGCATCAGTACCGCTAAGTGAGAGCAAATCTTGTGGGTATGTATGTATGTATACGGGATGACAAGTTACAGATCCTTCAGCGGGTCCCTCGATGGCGGTCATTGCCAGCGTTCTTCAGCCTTTGTTGGGCGCGTTATCCGCACCCTTACTTTGTTTTAAGTACCGGGTAATTCTTGTACAGCTTACAGTTGCGAGTTAAGTTGCAGTTTTCAACAAGGTAAGTTATTTCCGATTTCTCAATCGTTTTGTTGCAGTCATTATTTGCTTGTTTGTTTTTTTCCCTTTCATTTTAACACAAACGCGCATCGGAAAGGCAAACGCTGGCTTTCGATAAATATTTAAGAAAAGAAAAAATAATTAGAAAAAATAAAAAAGCAAAAAAATAAAAAAATAAGCCAAAAAAAAAAGTGCCCGTTTTACTAGGATTTGAACTAGGATTTGAACTATAACCTCCCGATCTCAGGGCAGAAATCAGCTCCGCTATATCCGTTTGTAGGGAAGCGCTGGGTAGTTTTAACAGCAGGCTCACATACGTTCCTAGCACGAACCGACAAGTCATGTGGAAGTATTATCAAACTCATTTATTATTTTACTTTGATCTTTCTAGTTGTTGCCTACTCGCAAGACTAGAATACGTCAACCCAATGGAATAACACTAGTCATAAGCCCACAAGTACGCATTACGGACCGTTTATTCTAATCGCCGTTTCCCCTTGTTTACGACATTCATACAAACATAATTATTTCAACACGGTCCAAAATTCGTCAGCTAAAACTACAAATATTTACAATTCCTAATATCTAATATAATAAAACTAATTGAATAAAAAAGCTGCTTTCCACGAATGCCGTGCCTGATACATCTCCTTTGAGTAGGCCTTTAAACTGCCTCAGGGACTCTGCTTCCCTTAATTAAGTCACAAGGAAGAATGGCGCCACTATATCTAAAGCTATTTTTATAATAGTTTGTGCTCGGCAATGGAACATTTATTTTATTCTCAGAGTCCCTTAGATTATATGCGGTTTCTCGCCTCTCGAATTTAGAACTTAGATATTCTGGAGCCAACCCGTGCAGAGACTTATAAACCATCGCAGCTCTTTGAATTTGCTGCTGGCTTGGTAGTCTTTTTCCACCCGAGAAGTTTGAACAGGTGACCAGCATCTACGTCATAGTTTGAGTAGATCAAAACACGAACTCCTCTATTTTGTAGTTTTTGTAACTTATTTCCCAAAGTTATCCCACTGTTTCCCCAAACAATGTCGTAACAGTCTAACTGTGGCTGTATCAGAGCTCGAA